TGTCAACACTTAAACTAGCTCACTCAATTGAAGTTCAGTTGCACGGTCCCACTGTCTGAAAAGTGGATCAGGACAACTTTTCGTGTGAAAACCTTGTGAGTGTCTTTTTCCGGAAGTGGAGTACTTGTTGTTCAAGTAGACGACTTCAATCAACAAACCACACAAAACAACAATCCCAGTAGTGGTGCAAATGATTCAACAGTTGATAAATTCGGAATACGATAAAATAAAATCACGTGGTTATTTTATTCGGCCAGGAGATCACAGGTGACTTTTAGCGGTATTCCACCATTAACTGTTTGGTAGTGGCCCAACTCAGAAATAGCATCGCATGAACAAGATAATTAAAACCGGTATGTTTTACACCCTTCATTCCCAATACGTGACAAAGAATCCGGAGTACAACACGCCATTAGTATAATTGTCTAGGCAGTCCTAAAGAGCACATTTCTAATAGAAAAAGGACTAACAAAAAAGCTCATTTTCAGTGATTTGTGGTCATGCTAATACATCACATTAAATATCACAATGTTTATATATGTGTCAGTACTCAACTATAAAAACAATTCTCGCAGGCATTCAAGCTCCCCTGGTCCCAAACTCCTTAAATGACGAGTGGTCCGAAAGTTGTTACAGTCATTGGGCGCATTGTAATTTAATGCAATTCACTATTCCCTCCTCTTGTCAGGCAAGTTTTACCACCAAGCAGAAATAGTTCGTGTCAAGTCAGCTTCCAATTATAGACAATGTTATGGCACAGTATACAGTGCAAACTGTAGTGGTGCAAAAACTCCTTATATTTTCATTGATTCAGTTCAGCAAACGTTTATCATTGTGATAAGCCGACAGTCGCATCCATCCAACTGATGATTATTGTATTGGCATATGGTCCACGAAGACGATACTGTGCATGGTAGTAACACACACATTAAACAACGGGGCGATCTCGGATGTGGCTACTGGTACCCTCACATATATCATCAGCCAAATCAAGTGTCCCCCTCCCCAAGACTGTGTTACTCACTCACGGTCATTGGAACCCGGGGGGACACACGTTTCAAACTACACCATTAGCAGAAGGTCACGAGTAACGAACAGAGTCAAGGGGTGCGAGAAAATGACAACCCGAAAGAAACGCTAAAACAATAACGGATTATTTTGTCAGCGTTACAGAAAAAGAACAGCGAACCGGGACAACAGCATTCCAGACGGGCCACATTTATCATAGTAACCAGATATTCGTGAGGAGGAACGTAAATCGGTGGTGGCTTTGTCACAAACGATCGGTGAACGAGACAGACAGACAAAGAGACAAACAAACATGAAGCATAGGTCAGCAGTTTCGACTAAATCCACAATTTTCTGACTTGAATACGGCACATGTACATAGTCAGATGTTGATGAGTCCCATTTGGTCCGAATCAGAGTACGTATGGAAAAGCAACATGTGCGTCCAACGCGTTGCGGTGGCACGGTAACTCTCTTCGAATGGAACAGTGCCGTACAACGAACACCGTTGTTGTATGACTTTTTCACCTTTCATCCATTGTAACGGTGATCAAATTTTTTGACTGAAATGTTGGTGTAGTTGCCTGCATTACAATAAAACAGCATAAAACTACTCAACAAATACGCTCATTTGTACATGGTGCTAAATAGACAACTGTTGTTCTTCCAGTCCAGATCAGGCCCACCGAATTTCTACTTATTGCGAACATATTACGAGTTATTTATTTGATCAGCTGTTTGATGGAACCCTCGAGGAATAAACTAATAGATGATCTTCCAGCATGTGATTGCCGCTAATGTGTTCAAGACAGGTAGGGTTGCGATGCCGAAAACCAAAAATCTTAGCTCTCATTAAATATATTTAGCAGAATCGAACAAATATAACAAAATATTGCTGCTCTGCGAAGCTAAGTATCATTACAATAAATTTTATCGTTTTATGGGTAGAGTGAGACCCATCGTAGCAACCGTATGAAAAATGCTTCTATTTTTGATTGAAGTAGATACGCTTTATTGCGGCGTTCTTGTCCCTTTCGACTCCTGAATCATGTAATAAATCTCAAATTTATTTTGGGGAATAAATATTACATAGCTTGCCCTATATGTCCGCAGCCAACATTTATTTCACTGTTTCAAATCTATTCTAATTCAGGAAAAGCAATCTTCCATTTACCTGGGAAAATTTGGTCAAAAACCTGTTGAGTTTTTGCAGATTATCCAGTATGTTTGAGTAAAACAAAGTGGCTTAGGATAAATAAACAACGTTTCCTAATGAAATCACGCCGGAAGGCTTAGTATTATCGTTTCCTTGTTGTTGTAGGTTGTTATCCTTACCACCTTCTCCGGTGAAACAAACCTAATGAGCTTGTGTTGACCCCGTAGACGAAACCTAAAAGTACGTACAAGGCACCTGTTACTTGCATATGGATTTTATCCCCAGTCTGTCCGCAGACCAGTGAGTACATTTGTCAAGCTGTAGTCCACATCTGTTCCGAAATGACCAAATAGTTTAAAATTGTGCTTTCGCCGGGGTATCACTTTTGGAGCATTGTTACCCCGACGGATTGTCATAATATATTCAATTCATATTTTGGTAGATTTAGGCACTGTGGAATTTTTTGAGCGTTCATTCTATACATTTGCTAGTAACACAGATCAAAGAACTGGGAGAGCGAGAGATTAGAAACTTTAAGGACGGGATCTGTTAAGCTGATACAATAAACTACTAAACTGACTAAGCTCGAAATCACATTCCTCAGTACTCAGAATAACAGCGTTTGGTTTTGTGTCCTTCTTCGATAAACCTCACTCATGGAGCAATGAATATGGTTTTTTCAAATATGTTCTAGATTGTAGTCTGTAGTTTGCAGGGAAGCTTGCTTCTCTCCTTTTTTCTTCTCTAATCTTAAATTTATCCGATATGCAGGTTTAAATGATCTTCGGCAAATAGCGCAATCAACTATGCAAAACAAAGCGAGAACCTTGGAGTTTCGTCCGTTATTTCTATTCACCTACTCAGTTTATGTTTCTCAGAAAACCAGCATGGGGTTAACGGTGATACAGTAAATTGATCTAGGCCTCTTCTAGGAATTCGGTATTTCTACGTACGGCAGCGCATAATACGGAAATTGTTCGTGAAACTGGATTATCCTTATCCATAGATGGTTTATTTTAAACCAGTACCACACTCAAACGTATCATATTGTTGTTCATTAAAGCCTTTGTATATTTCATGCAACCGCATATATTTTACTCTGGTTATCGACTCCTGTTCCATTTGGAAGCCGAAAAAAACTTAAATTGTCTGATATATTTTGAACACAGCTGCACTTTCTCTCGAAAACCTTAACCATATTTATCTAACACAAAGAGGCATAATTCCGCATTTAACCTCACTGTTTAGTTTCTGTCCACTTTTTCACATGATGTTCAAAAGCCAGTCTGCTTACAACGAAAGAGCATGGAGCACGGGAGGAGAAAATCAAACCTCCACTGAGATATGTATACTATTCGCGGCTGAATGAAATTGGACAACAAAACAATCAGGTCCCCACATTTTCGGCTGTTCTAGAAGATTCCCATTAACTTTCACATGCATATAAAATATCAGAAAGCTGATAGAGCTTACATGTGTACCCTATCCTCCACCCTCAATACTGAAAACTAAACACTGACTGAAACAAGATTATTTATGGTTTTGGTTCCCAAAATTCTCTTTGCATTTTGAATTACATGGCCAACTTTCAGTTCCCATCAAACACGCAGCTGGGTGTGATAAAAATAAGCTATAGCCCACAACAAACAAACAGATCCTTATTATTATTAGATTGATGTTGTCTGTTTGGTTTATATTGATCAAGTTTTGGAGGCGCCGATCTGCATTAACCGGTCTTCTTAAGCACCGTGGCTGGGGTTCACATAGCCAGTGAAACAAATGCCGTACGTACCACCCACGTTTTCACTTGGGCACGTAACTGAACGGATAGGAATATTCAAATTCCTCTCCCCGAAAATAAATTAATTTTCTACTGAACAAGGCAAAAGGGATATCTAGAGGNTGTTAGTCAATTGGTTACGAGAAACATTCCATCCACAATGAAACCAAACAGTGTTCTCAGTGAAACACTTCACATTTTCACAGTGCGAATCAAAACCCCAATGAGTTATTGGAATAGAAATCAAATCAGTTCATTGGATATACTAATTCCTGTTGGTTTTGTGTTGCTCCAATCACTAGTGCACATTCGGCAGTTTATTTTCTTCAAAGAAATAACTTATACGCGCTCCTTAATATCAAGATGAATCAATTCACTCAGACAAAATAGGCATTGAACGGCTGTTTGATGCAACATTTTTTTCTTAAGTTCGAACTGTGTAATAGGAAGTAATAACAACGAAATTCCCTATGCAAATATGCAGGAAAAGGTCAAGACAGTGGTCACTGTGTGTTTTTATGCGTCGATTTTCCGACCTATTTTAAAGAGTTTGGAACACTTGTCTATCACACGTGAAACAGGTTTAGTATGTTTTATTTTGAGATTTCAGAGGTTTCATTTATACCAAAAGGAAAAATTATTAGTCAGCGTTTGGTTGTTGGAACTTAATAGTAGCACGCACCCCGAATACTGAATATGTTCTATCTGTTCTTTATCGTAAGCGACGCTTGAAATATTGCGACTACCAGAGTTTCGACGGTTGAGGAGCGCTTTATATTAAGCTATCACTCTGGAGTCATATATGAGTAAACTATAATGAGGCTTAAGTACCCAGTCCTTTGCAAATCACCTTTACGCACTAACATAAATCTTGATAAAGGATCATAAACATATAAAACTCACTTCGATTTCAATGACCTGAATACCCAGTTTCACTGGATACGAAAATTAATCAATCCTGAAAAAGTTTAAAAATTTAATTTTCTTTACTTCGACCGTTAACGTATTTTACTGCATTTTTGGATGATTCTGGAAGGATTCAAATGACACTGCTCTTTACAATTCATTCTGAGTTATGAAAATGTCTACATGTATATGAGCAAGTAGGAATCCCATTGTAAATCCAAAACACTCACGTTTTTTTGCAGTCAGTGGCACACACATCTTTGTCGAACTAGCTGGAAATCGGGAGCACTTGACAATTTCCGGCCAACCAAACCCAAACTGTAGCATTTTGGGTAAACAACTCTGCCGTACATCCTCACACAGGTCACTGCATGGATGAATCAACTGCTCTGGAAACTCCTCCACACAAACTGGTGCATACAAGGCACACAGGAACTTGGTCAAGTCCGGATGACATTCGGTGTGTGCCAGACTGACCCAAACCTGAGATTGATCGACGGCTTCTTTGAGCTCTTCGTGTTGCAGATAATTTGGGAGCACCATGCGTCTATAGCCAACATTCTGACAAAGTGACATATTGGCCGGAATCGGCAAACATCTGTGTGTACCTTGTCCATGAAGCATCTGATGCCAATCCGCATAATAGGTACCCGGATCAACCGCATTCAGGGCAGGTGATAGAGAATCCCGAGGCATGGCGGCATCAGACATCTCTTCCAAAGAAGATCCGGCTCCAAACAAGACCGTGTCCGATGGTTGATCTGAGGCGGGAATTTGATGTAACGGAGTAGGATACTTGGTCATCCATATACTCGGTCTATTATGTCCATATTGTGACGGGTTTGGTTGATTTTTCGGATAGGTATAGCTCCTTAGGAACGGGATGACCGCTTCAATATTCGCAAAATTCACTAACGTGAGCAAGATCACGGCGAGGAGCCCACAGTAACTGGTTGATTCACTTTGCTTTAACCTACTCATCCTCATCATTATTATCACTCAATCCTGGAATACGTTCCAAAAGTGAAACTATGCTCTCTGAAACAAGTTGCCACAGTTGTTGTTTCCTAATTCGTCGAATCAGCCAACCGGTAACAGTGAGGACATGGTCATTTGTAATGGGCACAACTGTCCGATTTGCCTATCCACGCGTGCAAATCACACGTGAACACGGTCGCCCCATGTCACAATCCCCATTCGCCTATCATCGGTCAACTTCTCCACTCTGTAGCATGTTACGCGCACCACCCTTAGTTAATTCGAAAATCTCATTGGCCATTTGGTCGGACCAATCAAAATTCAGGGTTCACAACATTGCGCCTAAGAGGAGTACATTGCTTCTTGTTGTAGTCGCTTCGACGTGAGCCGATTCTGAGGTGTATGTCCGAACAGGACTCCTTACTACGTTCGGTGAACAACGCTTCTTCTCTCCACTTGTTAATAACTTTATTAATGAAAGGGGTATTGAATGAAATGCATAGAAACAGATGATTTCAGGTAGGATTTTAGTTTTGTATGACTTAGAATACAATGTCGTTTGATGTATTCTGTTTTGTGTTTTTTACCATTTTTTTATCCCAATCGAAACACAAAAGAGTTACTAGTTTTTTTGTATTCTCGGATAGCGGATTGTAACTGGGTGAATGGATGAATATGTGCACGTGGGACAGAGAGAACGCTACACAAATGGACATGTCAGAACAGGAAGTCAGTAAGCCTGTTAAATAATGGTAAAGTTAGTGCAATCTGAAAAAAAAAGATTTGGCTCGAGAAAGCAGAACGGAGCGATAAGAGGTGGTGTTTCCAGTGGGTTGAGCAAGGAAGCCAAAACTTTTAAAGGGGTAAGACATTGGGCAGGGGCTGATTATGAGGGAGGATTAACTCCACATTAAGACAAGTGTGATTGCCATCTGTTTCTGTGCTCGTAGTATGGTAATTGTTTCAAGTGTGATCACGGAATTTGCAAACATCGGTTGACACGGTCGTTCGGAATGATAGAAATGTAGAGAAACATCAACTGGATTCACTATGCAAATACGGCAATATGTGAATCCGGTAACCTCATCTGAAGTGATAGTTGCTGGCATGGAATCATTCCTTGGTGAAGTCGATGTTCAATCACTGCACCATAGGCACCATAGTATATAATTAAGTTGTAAATTAAACACCTCTCGAAAGATTAGTTATAGTACAGAAGATTTTCTCCAATGCCCATGGATTGATAGCCACATCGTCCGGCCATCGGTCATCGATTGAGGAATAATGGATTGTTAGTAACAAAATCCGGAACAGCCAATAAATGCTTTTACAATTACATACATCCACTTCCATTTAGAGGTTTCAGCAGAGCAAGGACAAGTGTTATCAAAGGACCGAGTGGAATTTAACTGTTTTGCGTCATCTCGTCATTTATGTACAAAATATTCTTGTGAAAATTCTACCGGAAAGTTGATCAGCCTGTAAACAAACAAATGGTTTTGTTTTCTTTCGTAGAAAATCAAGCTCCACTCTCAGGCAACATTTTCAGCTATCGGATACTCTGAATTGGGAATCACTCACCCTTCTCGCGAGTTCATATCAGTGTTCCTTTCATTAAATTGTCTCTCCCGTCGAAACAGTTCAAGTTTCGCGGCCACTAGTTCAACACCTGAATGTTTTGGGGTTATCCATTCTGGCGATTTCCAAGTGATCAAAAAATAATCAACAGTTGGGAGATAAATGATAATTAGTTAACTAGATAATACGGAAAAGAGGGAAAGAAACTTTACAGCAATAACAACAACAACACAATGTTTATCTGTATTGAAAAAATTTCAATTTATTTTCGTAAGCAGTCGGTATCCTGGAGATTATTTGTGGCTATTCCTAACCGTTTTGTGCACTTGACAAATGTGGTCTGTAAGTTGTGTCAACTTTAAGCGAACAGGTCTTATAATTGTGATCATGGTTGTTTTCTTTTTTACTTTACGCCAGTTCATTGAGCTTGGCAATCCGTCTACCGAGGTGACACTAGCCATGATTGTTTAACAAAATGTGCAGCAAACTGCAAAGACGTTAGAGCAGTGATGGTTGAGCCTTAGTGGTAAACAACTTATTTGGCTGGGGGATCAGATGATTGAGTCTGAACATTGCCTACCAAATTCCCACTTCTACATGTTCCCACGTAGCTTTCGATCGACTGTGGTCTTCAAATTTGTCATACCATTTTCAGTTTAACAAAAAGGAAACAGAATTACTGCAGTGATTATTGCTATGACAAAAAATGCAATGTAATCATTGCTCTTTATTGGTTTGATAACTTAGGGAATTGGAAAGATTGATCACAACGTGATCGTGTTGTTTTGAAAGCCTCTGGCAGCTTGGTTGCTTTACTTGAAACGGGGGATGCATTGCACATATTTCAATAATTATTCACTGCTCACCGGGATATTAGCTGGTGGTACCATTGAGCAAGCTGGCTCAAAATGGTACCACATGTGAAATAATATAGTACTTACACGTGCACACACATTAATGGAGTGCACATAGGGATTCTCAGTTTAGTATCTTTCGGTTTATTCGATTAATTGTTCCTTCAACGAAAATATGCGCTCCTTAGAAATCAAGTTTGGAGACAGTGTGTTCCCATTATCATCGCATTAGTTGGAAACGAGACAAGACAACTGTAAATCAATCAGATATTTACAGAAGATAGTTTTGATAAATACAGTTCTTCGGTAGTTTGAGTAATAGCGTCAGAACATAGTTGGTTAGACGAGAAATGCGAAATGTTGATCTTCAACGGTTGACTGAAACAGCTTCGTTTTATGCTAGCAATGAAATATCACAAGTCATCTTTTGAGTCATTCCTATTGGAATTGCCCAACAATCTGTATTTGATTGATCAATGGATCCTGTTTTGTGGTGATATCAATTGGGTTTCACTTATTCGGGTAGTTGTTTAGAATTTTTCGTTCACTAATCATTCACACTCTGCCAAGGTCAGCGAAGACTGCTTAGTTAAGGTAATAAATTAACGAGAACAAGCATCTCAGGGAGTTAATGACTGTCTGCTATTTGAAGTGTTCCAATACTGAATAAAGCAATGGTGTAGGAGTTTGACGCGAGACAGGATTGTGTAGAACACTTCACTTAACTGTGCTTCATTAAGTAAAGTGAATTCCCAAGTGTTGGTTCCTTGGTTCAAAATCAGATGATTCGAATGAATGAATATTTACTCGGAAGTTATATCAAGAATAAACAAAACATCCACCGATTTATACATACCTCTTACATAATTCAATTTACTATATAAGTCAATAAATCATAGCTTGTGTATGAATTGGAAAGACGTTTGCCTGATATGTCACGTGTACCTTTCTCTAATCCACCCTCTTATTTCACATGAATATATGATGAACAACATGAGCAGTAATTCCTCTTAGTTACGACAACCCATTATTTACTAATGGAAAGTGACGATCTACGCCCCGAGACCTAAAGTGGCGAACTGCGTAAGGCATCCCTAGCATAGGGGTGTTCTTCAGTCGGATGACAACAAAAATGCCTACCCTATAGAATCTAATGTAGTATCACTGTAGCACTTATATTTTTCCATCGAAACTGAGCAATTCTTCCTTTTACTTATCATTCAACTTTTAAGGTTTATTTGAATAATCAATGGTTGCGATCAATATCAATTGTCAGCAGGGGTGTTAAGCTTGTAAAACTTTCTTCTTGTCAGTCCCTCACGGTTACGCCCTTTTGTATCATGCATTTTTTGAAATAATAGGAAAATTAAAATGCATGAAAGTTTTAAGTATGAAAAAGCCAAAATCAATTAGGCGATCGAATTTCTCCCTCGACCATTCTGTTCGGTCGCTCCGTTGTACTGGTACATACACGTATTTGGACTCACTATTTTTGTCGAAGAGTGTTACAAATTTATAAGATGTTAACCAATGCGATTTGTCCGCATGTGGTCGAAATGTCTCAGTCTTTTTATTTGCAATGTTCTGAAGAAAGATATCTCAGTCAAATCAAAATCACCTACTAGAAAATCAGATGTATCTTGAATTTAACAATCTGTCATACATACCACGAAAAGCCTCAAAGTGCGGTGGCTATTCAACGACGTGGTAGCTGCTTGAATGCGGATAACCGGGAACGTGAATTACACATGCTATCACTGAGTCGCCCTGGCTGACTCTGGTTCCCATCCGTATCTTCCAGTGGACGCTGATCAGCGTCACTTGGGCAAGGATAGATACTTTAATTAGTAATTCTGGGGTATTAAAATATGATACATTCTCGCCTTATTCATTTTTTGTCGCATTTTCTCGTTAACTCGGCCAAATGCGTTTAAAGTATACAGAGAAGGCAATACTGTATCAGACAGCTTCCGATCCATCAAACTCCGACATATTCTCCACTCAGTTTTCCGCATACTCAGACCCATGTATTCTATTGCGGACCGATCTTGAACACAGCCAATAGTGCCGAATGGGTTTTACCCTTTCAATCAACCGTCTCCCAATGACTGATACAAAAGTGAATGATCGGCTTGTAAACAGAGTGCGCCTCATCAATTGCTAAGGACTTACGGTAGACAACAGTCCTAACTGGCTGTCAGACTTCTGATGGAAAATTAAGGGGCGTTTTTAAGGACACAAAGAAAGGTAAAGAAATATTTCAATAAATTGTTATCAGTGTAATCCTCTCGTTTTAACTTACTGATTTTATGACACATTTACCGGTTCCTTCAGGAACAATTTGAATTTTTGCTTCGGGGTATTCAATGCGTTGAGAAACGAGTGCGTAAAAGTTTGAAAAGATACTTAATTAAAATAACATGGTCAGTTTGTTTGACCCGTTTTTACACTTCTAATTTCTGATCTTGAAAAAAATAATTTCGACAGGAAGAAGCAGCTAATCGACTGTGATACGAGATTAGTTGTTCCAGCGATGTTTTAAATAAACTGTGGAATGAAAGTAATTTTATAAAAACTGGA